TTTTTGCAAAAGTTTTAGTTTAAAGTATCTTAAAATTTTGTGTTAACAGTGAATTTAGACAAATCCTTAGTCTTTGTCATTGTCAGCTGTTACTTTTTAAATTTGTTTCCTTTTAATTTTGTATTTTCCAGGGGGGGGCAGGGCCCCCCCCTGGAACTCCCAGGGGGGGGGCAAGAGGACTACTGCCCCCCCCCTATGTACGCCACTGGTGGTTTAACATGATATTTTAGACAGGGCGTTCAAATTTATTTTTTATGGTTTCTATGGGTTTAATTATTTATATTTCATACAGGTTATACCAATTGTAGATTATTTACAGGGTGTCCCAGAATATATGATTTATATGAAGGAATTGAGTTTTTGTCACAAACTCTTATTTTCTTAAATATCTTTGCATTTCAATGTCAGAGACCATAGATATTTCAAACTATGAATTATTTTAGTTCAAATAATAATAGTTTGAAATATCAAAGATTAACACCGTCAGGTTGCAAAGATATAGCAATTTAAAAATGAGAATTTGTGGCTAAAACTCAGTTCCTTTAACGTTTTGTTGGTTCAAGGGGAGAATGATAACATATTTCAGACAAAGTTTTTCAATAATGAATTAAACATCTGATAATAATTTTTAATATTTTAGACGTTTTGCAAATACCTTCTGTTCCCCCCTTTTATATCCCAACTTTACAATAAGAAAAATTAATGATATCGATATTGTTGGGTAAACGAGCATTATCGAGATTCATGACTATCTTTTACAAAAAATACGTCACATAATTCAAAGCAAAACACTGTCAACATTAAAACGAGGATTCGGTTTTTTATTTTTAAATAGTTTTAGTTTTAGTTTTTTTTTAACACATTTCTTAAAGAAAGAAAATAGAACCATATCGGTTACAACATTGTTCTGGGTCGTCCTCTCTACCAACTTTACTCAAATTCAATTTCTTTGAAAAAAAAAATTAAATGTACAATTTATTTTGGATTTAGGAGCTTGAATTTTCAACTCGTTTAGTTTTCTATCCCTAATAAAACAATAAAAACAATTATATTACAAATAATTAGAACAAGGAACAAATAATTAGAACAAGGATAATGGGAGCAACTAAATTAACCAACTTAATTGTTGAGAGAAAAAGTTTTAACACTAGGTTTGAACTCTACTGCAAGGACAATTTAAGCATTTAGGTTTTATTTTCAACATAAAACAGCATGTGGCAGCATAGTAAATGCAATGAACATCATGGGTTTAGAACTAAAATAGTATTGAACCATTTACAGTCGTCGTCGCATATATCAACACAGTGAAGACGACTTTCGATTTAAATTTTTTATGTATATCAACCTGTTAAACAGCATGGATACACATAAACAGAGAAGTCAAGAGACGCTGTCAATTACAAAGCTTCTCTTTGATTTCTTGTAAACTTGTAAAAGCTTGTTAACACTACAAACTTAAATAAAAAGTCGTCTTCATTGTTTTGATAAAAACGCCTACCACTGTATGAACATATTTCAATTAAATCTTTTTTTTCTGATCTGAAGAGTAATATTAAATCTTTATTTCTCTACACTATATCCTTGCCACCTGATGTCATAGACCTCTGATATTTAAAACTATAAATTATGTCAGATAAAATAGTCTAAGCATATATTAATAACAATACAGATAGAACATCAAATGTCGTCTTTTCAAGACTTAAGGATTTTCTTGTTCACGATAACCCTGAGGCAGAAGCCCAAAGGAGTTACTCGCAGGGAGCGTTTAATTATACGACAGAGAGAGAGCATGCCCGTAACTTCCATTAGCCTCTGCCTTAGGATTATTGTGAAGAAAAAACCCCTAAATATTGGAAATTCGACATAAAGTGTTCTATCTGTATTGTAATCAATCTATGAGCCTAAGTTTGAAGTTCATTTGTTTATCGCTTTCATGATTCGAATTTCGAAAGGTAATAAAAACATCAAATAAAAGATTAGTACAAAAAAGATGTTATGAATTATTAATGTATTGCAGTCAGGCTGACAAGCATTTAAATGTTTATAATTTCGTTTTGAATTTTTAATTACGCTAATCTTTAAATGAACTAAATTGTAGATACAACACAATTTCTTGAAAAATGTTAATAACACACCATATGTTTTCTATTTCTTTCTTATAAAAAATTATCTTTTTTGGATCCATTTTAAATTCTTTTTTAACAAATACATTTGCCTTTTATGTAACCAACTATTTTAAAGTTTGTGTGATTCCTGTTCAGAGTATTTTGAGAAAACTGTCAAATTTTTTTAATCAGATTTATCAAACTCAATTGAGTCAGCAAGTTCTTGAAAATAAACTTTCCAACCCTACAGACATTTTTCCTAAAGATTGTGAGTTTTTTTGCCACAAATTCAAATTTTACCATCTTTATCTCAGTGCAGTCTTATGGTGTATAACCTGAGATATTTTAAACTTTTACAGAATTAGAAAATCAGAATTTGTGGCAGGCACTCAATTCCTTGGTCAAATTTATGTTGATCACACTTTTGTGTATACATCGTATACAATTGATATTTTTTAGAGTTAAGCTTTATTAATCATTGCCTCCCGATATGTGTTAAAATTTTACAAAAATTTTACAAAAGGGACCGTTTAGGAAAAGAATTGAATTGTCACAAACTCTTCGACTTAAATCTTGAAACATTGAATATAATTTTTAGTGGATCCAACCATATTTGAGCCGCGTCTCAAATTTAAGCCGTGGCTCAAATTCTTTAAATTCGGCATCAGGTTGCAAATATAAAAGGATTAGAAAGTTTGAGCTCGAGGTAAAGACTCAATTCCTTTTAAGTGATCATGTATTTAGAAATTTAACATTCCAGATTTTAAAACCTTTGACCATGGAAAAATGATGCAGATATCCATATTTTTCTATCTGAAGTTTAGCCTTGAAAGTAACTTGTGGTTTTCTGAAGAAGTAATAAGAAAGTAAATTGACAAAATCTGTCTATTCTCAAGATAAAGGCAAAGATACCTTTCTTATGAATTCGACGGTTCCTTTCAAGTTGTTTCGAAAATACAAGAACAGATATTTGCTCGAAAATACAAGAACAGATATTTGCTCGAAAATACAAGAACAGATATTTGCTCGAAAATACAACGACAGATATTTGCTCGAAAATACAAGAACAGATATTTGCTCGAAAACACAAGAACAGATATTTGCTCGAAAATACAAGAACAGATATTTCCTCGAAAATACAAGAACAGATATTTCCTCGAAAATACAAGAACAGATATTTCTTCGAAAATACAAGAACAGATATTTGCTCGAAAATACAAGAACAGATATTTGCTCGAAAATACAAGAACAGATATTTGCTCGAAAATACAAGAACAGATATATCCTCGAAAATACAAGAACAGATATTTGCTCGAAAATACAAGAACAGATATTTGCTCGAAAAAATTAAATTCCCAGATTTGCCCTTTCCTAAATCCTAAATCGGTTAATCGGATAATTTTCTATAATTTTCTCAACCTTGGGGATTTAAACATTTCCGGGTTCTAGCTCGGTGGTTCAATCAGGAGACATTTTATAGTATTCAGAAGACATTTTATAGCATTCAAAAGACATTTCAAAGTATTCAGAGACATTTAGTGGTATATTCAGGTGACATTTTATAGTATTCAAAAGACATTTTTTAGTAATCAGGAGACATTTTATAGTATTCAGAAGACACTTTTCAGTAATCAGGAGACATTTTATAGTATTCAGAAGACATTTTTAGTTATCAGGAGACATTTTATAGTATTCAGAAGACATGTTTTAGTAATCAGGAGACATTTTATAGTATTCAGAAGACTTTTTTTAGTAATCAGGAGACATTTTATAGCATTCAGACGACATGTTTTAGTAATCAGGAGACATTTTACAGTATTCAGAAGACACTTTTTAGTAATCAGGAGACATTTTACAGCATTCAGAAAATATTTTTTTGTAATCAGAGAGTTGTATATTCAGGGGACATTTTATAGTATTCAGGACACATTTTATAGCATTAAGATTTCAGAAGACATTTTATAGTATTTAGAGGACATTTTATATTACTAAGGGGACATTTTATATTATTCAGGGGACAATTTTTATTATTTTCGGGACATTTATAGTATTTTGGGGACGCTTCATTCATTTCATATGACATTTTACATAATTTCTCGTTCTAGATTTAAACATTTTTCACAAAAATTCTTTTTATTAAAGCCATATTTTAATTTTTCTTGTCATTTTGTGTAAAATGTAGTGACGTGACGTGGGTATA